CGCTATGAGTTGGTTCCGACTCGATGGCACCTGACAACAACAACAACAACATTGTCATTAATAGCCTGATCTAAAGATTTGAGTTCCTTTTTAATCATCCACTTATCCCTTTCAAGGTGCTCTGGTAGCTTTGTTGTTGTTGTGTTGTTAAGTGCCGTCGAGTTGGTTCCGACCATAGCGACCCTGTACTGGGTTTCCGAGGGTGTAAATCTTTACCGGAGTAGAAAGCCTCATCTATCTCCCGTGGAGCGGCTGGTAGTTTGGAACCGCTGACCTTAAGGTTCGCAGCCCGATTCGTAACCACTACGCTACCAGAGCTCCTTAGTGGTTACGAGTTAGGCTGCTAACCTCAGGGTCATCAGTTCGAAACTACCAGTTGTTCCGCGGGAGAAAGATGAGGCGTTCTGCTCCCATAAAGATTTATAGCCACGGAAACCCTATACAGGGTCGCTATGAGTCAGAAACGACTCCACGGCACATAACAACACTAATGACAAGACAGATTGCTGCTACACATAAAGTTATGGAAGACACTGAGGCAAATAAAGAGAAAAATCTGTAAGAGTATGATATAAGAATTTTATAGGTACTTTGTGAAGTAATAAGCATATTAAGTTTAATGCACAGTTTTATCTATTTCTTTAAATTTTATTTTTACACTATTTATATGCTACTTTAAAAATACACCCAGCAGGTACTGATTTTAAAAAATCAGAAACAATTTAATGTAATACATACATATCGTAGTTCTTTCTTCTGAGAATATTTTATCCATGTCAATGAGTGTTCATATAGAGTGAGGATATTTTAATGAATAGGTAGTATGTACCTGGTCTACCCTTAATTTCAATACATCATGTAAGTAATAAATACAAGTTTATAGTATGCTATTAAAAATTTTCCACTTTTGTATTTTAACATATTTTTTGTCAATTTAATAGCTTACTGCATAATTTTGTTATTAAAAATGGTGAGTTTTGTATTTTATAAATGAATTAAACATTATGACTGTGCATGCTAAGCTAGTATATCTTTGTCAAGAAAACAAATGAAAGCCCTTACAACCATACCAGTAAATGTATCCTGATAAACTGAGAAGAGATTGAAGATGTCAAAGATTTCATTTGCATTCCAGAAATCAAAGGACTTATTACATTAGGCAAATCTGCTGTAAAAGATCTCCTTAAAGTATTAAAGAGAAAAGATATCAGTTTGAGGACTAAGGTGCACCTAAGCCATTTCAATTGCCTCATATACATGTGAAAGATGGAAAATGAATAAGGAAGACCATAGAAGAAACAATGTATATGAATTATGGTATTGAAGAAGGATATTAAAAGTACCATGCATTGCCAAACAAACAAATCTGTCTTGGTGGACGTGAGCCAGAACTCTCCTTAGAAGTCAGTATAGTGAGACATCATCTCATACATTGACCATGTTGTCTGAAGGGACCAGTCCCTGGACAACATCGTGTTTAATAAAGTGGAGGGT